GGAAATAGCTCCCTGCATGCTCTATCACGAGAGCATCGAGAAAACTCGTGAGCTGAAGCTGTAAGCACAGCGGCGAGGGTCGTCAACCGGATCCCTAACTCTGTCACAGTCAAGACTCCGCACGAGATATATACAGCACCATGCCACAACTCAAGAACTGGACGGTGTTTTGCGCAGTCGGCTACGTGCACATCCCTGACATAATCGTCGTAAGGTCGACGCGAAGGCGTTCAAGTGCCGCTTCATGGGCTACTGAGATGGTGTCAACGAAATCCGTGTCCAGAATGTTGAGACGGGGAAGTTGCAAGTCATGCGCACTGTGAAGGTCGTTAAAACGACAAGTCCAGGGCACCTAATAACGCATTGTGATGAAGATGAAGACCAAGACGGTTCTTCCGTGCCAGCGCTGAATGATCCGCGACCTTAGAACGCGAAACAGATTGTACCGTTTGAATTGAATATGGTGACGCGATCACACTACAACGTGACGTGAACGTAAGCTGCTGGATCGTGCTGTATATTCTTACCCATCTCAGGCTAATGCGGACCGCACACGTCACATTGACGAAACGACGGATCCTGATGAGGCAAGGGAAACTAAGCAACAAGTGGTGGTGTCATACGACGCTGGCACGAAGCGCCAGAAGATGACTCAAGAGCGCCCGAATGTTAATAACTAGCAGCTTGCATCTACGAAGGGAGCAATGGCGGCTACCACCGAAGTACCTATCTCTTATGCCGAAGCAACTTCCGGTGCTGTTAGTGACGAGTGGAGGAAAGCGATCGCAAGCAAGTTGGAGTCGCGCGTTGCAAACAAGACCTGAAAGCTGGTGCTAAGACGAGTACACCAGCGACCAGTCGGTTGTCGTTGGGTATCCGCGTTGGAGGAAGACAAGAAGGGCAAGTGATTTGTCACAAGGCTCGCCTCGTAGCAAAGGGGTTCTCGCAGATGCACGGCATCGACTATAAAGAGATGAACGCGCCGGTGGTCTACCTGAATTCAATTTGGGCCAAGATGGCAAAGTGCGTTGCTGACGGTTTTGAGATCGAGTCGTGCAACGTCGTCACGGAATTCCTGTATGAAAAACGCGATGAGGAGATCTACATGGAGCTGCCTGAATGACGGCAAGAGCTACTCACTTTGGCGAAGGCTGAAGACGAGAGCGACGTCGTGTGTCTGCGACTTCAGAGTCTCTACGGGCCCAAGCAAGCCTCTTGTGTGTGGAACGAAGCAATCGACAGTCAGCCAAGAACATGTGGTCCAAGGCGGTCAACGCTGACCCATATGATTACACGATAGGTAAAGGAGATGACGAATGTATAGTACGTCTCTTCGTCGAGGACATGTTTATTGCTGAGAATGACAAGGCAAGCATCGCTTCGGTGAAGTCAGGAATCGCAGAGAAGCTCAATATCAAGGACATCGGACGTGCCCGGTTCATTCTAGGGTTCCAGATGATCGACTACAATATGGAGTACAAGACCCTACAAATCAGCCAACAAGCGTATACAGAGCTGATCATAATGAAGTTTGGGCAGGACGACGCTAATTTGTTTTTACTCCACTGATAGCTGGGGTTCATTTGACCAAGACTGATAAACACCGAAAGTGAAGACGACATGGCTAAGCTGCGATCCAAGCCGTACCGTTTGCTCGTGTGGAGCCTGATGTACCTGGCATGTGGTACACGACCCGACATTTATATTGCTGTTTCTTCGCTGAGTCGCTTCTTGGAGAGTTCCGGACATAATCACTGGGATGCGGGGATCAGAGTGGTGCGCTTAATACTCACGATCAAGGATGTTGGTATCATATTCAACGAACGCCAAGGAACAGAGCTCGCCGCTTATTCGGATGCGGATTGGACCGAAAACCGTGACAACAGATACTACGTCATGCACATGATGTGTGGTACCCTCGTGGTGTGGCGATCCAATTTTCAGAAGACCGTCGCTTGGAGTTGGACTGAGGCAGAGCACATGCAGCTCAGCAGCTGCATAAGTGAGGTGGTGTGGTTGCGACTTCTGCTTAAGGATAACAGAGGAACGGTGATCTACGAGGCCAGCCGAGAAGCTATGACATTGGCGAAGAACACTGGCTACCATGCTCGCATCAAGCAGATCGATATTCGCTACCATTTATTTGCGAGCAGGTTGGAAATGGTGAAGCTGAGATGGAGTACATTGACACCAGGAACCAGCTCGCGAATTACCTCACGCAGGGGTTGTCGACTAAGATGCAGCGCTACCTAATGGAACGAAGCAGCGTCGGAGCCATGCTCAAAGCAGCAAAATGCGTGGGGTGTTGTGGCTGCACTTCGCTATCTACTGCGATGGGTATCTATTGCGAGGCTCGTGCCGGACGCGTGTTGCAGTTGACATTTTGTGAATGGTGCGACCTGATTGGCAGATCATCTGGTAAATTGGATTGTGATTGGGCGACGACTTCAATTTGACCTATTATGGGATCTTCCGCGGGAGGACAATCGTGACGTGTAGCATTCCCGCTGCATACAGGGTTGTCGTCCTTCTCAGGCGTTTCCGTCCCAGTGTGCGGTTTAATATGCATGATTGTAAACAAGGGTGAGTTATGTTTTGAGCAGCCATTTGCCTGTGATAAAGCACCTACAGTGCTCTACTAGCACAAATGTTCGTTGTCACTATTAACAGCCGGCTAATACGAATATAAGGTAATACATGCTTTAAAAACCCCTAAAATAGTACCCCTGTTTGGGGGTGGGAAACTAATGCAACTCCCCAAGGGCACAATTAAAGGGGCTCTATTTTCGGGAAGTGCACAAATCAATGTTAGGTCAAGTGAGTCGTGTTAGTATCAAAGTTTTGCCGGGCCTTTCCCACTTAAAGGTCGTCGATGATTAGCTGTCATTCTTCGAAAAGGCTTTTTCTTCGTCTTGGTTAGAATGCGTTTCAGCAACCTTGTTACCAGTACCGCCTTCAAGCAGTGCAGTGAGCCGAGGAAATCTGATAATTTCCATTTTTTTAGGGAGGGGCCCAGCTTGTTCGAAATTTTGAATTGGGGGTAATTAAGCACAATTGTATTTGTTTTAACGTACAGTACTGCATCCCGTTTAAGCGGGGGTGGGACATATAGGATTTGCACATAAATTAGATTTAAACTTTCAAATCATCGATCTTTCAGATTCAAGATTATCACATCCGGAAGTTTATCAAAGGGTGCAGAGCTGTAGTCCGGAAAAGCGTGACATTTTTGGGGTACTGGTTTCTCAGAAAGTAGGCGAGATGGGACCTACGATTAATTCGCTCAGACAATCCTCTTTGGATTGGGTGCCTCTTTTTATAACTATCCAGAGGAAACACTATCAGGAGCTATATCATTACAAGGGTACCATCGCCTTTATGGCTACTACAGTACCTATTTTATTAGATTGCTTTCAATGGACTATGATGTCACGGTTGCAAAGCTATTCAGCGTGAGTATGCTTACATGGAGCGTGGGGTCTTGTAATTTGTAATACCCACAACCGTTTGCGAGCTGCTGGAAGCACACGGGTCTTCAAGACTACTGTATCATAGTTGTGAACGTCCTCAAGTCTTGTGCCCTCAGGGCATCATCACAGATAAGCTTGCCGTGATTGTCGCGCTTGCACAGAAAAGACCTGATGTCCATTTAAGAGCTGCTAAACACGCCGCGAGGACGTAGTCGGAGACGAACCCACTGAATTGGGTCGCAAGCGGATTTAAATGTCGTTGCTGGACCGGACGAAAATCACCAAACGAACATTATTTTTATTTACCGAAATTCCTTTCTCAAAGGGCGCACTGATTACTACCTTAATAAGTAAATGACAATAGAGGAGGCAGTGATTTGAAATACAGGAACATAGGAGGTACATACATTAAAGTTCAATTTACCGGTACACCAAATTCATTCTACCATATACAGTACCTTGTATCGACAGCATTAGACTCAGTAGTTCTACTGCATGTAGAACAACATCTGAAGGCGTCAAGTAGTAGTTTCTCTCGTACTTTAATAGTTAGTTTATCTCCAAATATTCAGGCTCCGAATTGTACAACTACTGTACGAAAACACATTCACGATGCTCACATTTTATAGCACCACGTTTTTGGTGGTGCTGAAAAGGCAGCTACAGTACCTCCACTCACATGATACAAGTCTCGTAGCTAGCCGGATGCTAGTAGCTGACATCCAGTTTCATCTTGTTTTCACTAAGGAAACCACTTTTCAACATCAAGATTTGTGATTGTAGCTGTAATTGCTTACAAACACCAAGTGAATGAATAATTTGCCAGTAACCCAGAATCTGAAGAGCCGGTAGATCAGCGTTCCTGCAAGTGTGCCCTTTGAGAAAGGATTATCCTGATCTCGGATTTCTGTGGTTTCATTGGCTAACACTCATTGGGTAGGTGTGCTCTTTGAGATAGGAATGTCGGTAAGGACCTTACGAAAGATAATCGTCAATTTTGTACATGACTAAGTTCAATCTGGAGGCTTGTTTGGCAAATAATGAGACTACCGGTTTCGGATAGATGGTACAGACTGTAGTATCGGTATTTGGGATATGTACCACTCCAAACAGGATTAAATGCAGGTATAATATTATCCCCTCGGCAGGAGAAAACATTTGTTGTACATGTTGTTCACTTTCCAGTTACGGACAGTACATACGCCGTACAAGATCATTGATCTCGTACGAATCGCAAGCTTGATCTCAGATCAAGCCTCACACCATCTCGATGTTGATCATGTCTTGCTGCTGTCCATTGAGTGCACAGTGCACTGTGCACTGCAATGCTCTGCAAAGTCTGCACTCACGACACGAAGGCTGATCTGGTCGCTGTTCTTTTAGAATGTACCTGTATTTTTTATGTTATAAAATACATAAATATGTTTGATGTATAAATTTAATTTCGAGGCGTAGAAACTTGCGTCATTTTACAATCGGCTCCTGGACGTGCAAGACCTCAACAAGAACTCCACTGGTTCAAACCTAGAAATGCGTTTCGGTCAGTTGCCTGCGCTGGCTGTCGTTGCTCTCATTCTGTGCTGCAGCGCCGTCGTGACCGCTGATAGTACGGCTCTAAAGTTGGCCAGCGCCAAACCTGGTGCCATCTATGGAGGTCACCGCTATCTCAAAGGCAGCAAGACATCTACTGGGTTGGATGCAGCGAACGAAGAAAGAGTTGGCGCGACTACTCCCAGTTTTAAGCAATACTTTAGCTGGATAAAATTACCCAAGCTGTCAGGCATTCCCGGGTTTAAGCAGCTCAGAGGTTACTTGGTTAAGCGCGATGCCGCTCGCGTTGAGAAGCTAAGGCAGAAACTCAATAACAATCCCGGGGCGTACGGCTATTAATCAAGCTTGCGAATGCACAAAGGCGTGGTTCTGCTCTGTTCTGTTTTCCGTCTTTGATATTTTCTGGAGAACGCGCTAAAGTAGGGAGCGAATATTCGGAAATGCGTGGTGGTAAATGCTGGTAAGGCTGTACCGTGTTGAGAACCATCGTGGTGCATTTACCTCAGGCTTGCTACATCTCTATGGTTTACTGGTGGCAGGGGAAATCATGCCACCTACTGGGTGGCACGGAGGCTCTACAGAAGTACCGGTAAGTATACCATGACAACCTGCGCTCACCGTTCGAACATGCATTACCATTTTTTCAAACAGATAGTGTGCTATTATAATATGAATTTTATAACGAATACTTCGCAGTAAAACGCATTGTACATCTGGACCCACATTTACTACCTCCGTTCGACCATTTTTTTTTTTTGCGCCGCGCTCCGCCTCGTTCATTTGAGCGTTAATTAATTTGTGAGAGGCTGGATAGCTAGCTTTATGACCGAGAGCTGACAGTGAGAAACTAAGCAAGGCACAGGCGTTCATGCTCCGCCGTGCAACTACAGATACAAAAACGGATCTAAGACGGCAACTACATCGCCACATTCTGAAGGGGCGCTCAGTGGGGCTTCTGGAACTTTAGCGGTAGGCGGTGGGGGGCTGCTCGCTGCAAGAAGCAGCATGTACGCGTTAGCATTGGCGAGTGAGATAGCGTCACAAGGCAGTGACTTAGGGAGAGTGCCAGCACGTACTTGCTTGTCCTTGTGCCGGAGGCGCGCAAACTTGTGCGTGGGTGTAAGTAATGGACGGGTCTGTCTGAGCGCACGCCGTATGTAGCCTTTCTTGATCAGCTGCTGAACCAGGTAGCAGCTCATGTTGGACGCGCGCTGAAGCAGACGCTGGTTTTCGCGCTCATTGACAGGAACTGCAGCGATTCTCTCGCACAGCTCAGCTCGATCCACCTTCTTCCTACCACATGCGCTCTTCCTTGACTTGACCACGGCTGCTACTCGATCTCCCATCGAATTGATTCCACGCCTCCAAATTCGTTCGACAACTTGGCGGCCCACACGGAAGTACGCTGCAACCCGAACGATCTCTCCATGTTTGACCACTTCTCCCACGCTGCGAAGCAGTAAGGTCTCCCAGACGGCCTGGCGCTCACTGTCTGCCCCAGATGCCAGCTTTCAAAATGAAAGCTGGGAGCGGGAGCCAGTCTGGTCGGGAAAGCGCGGGAGATTCGAAATCCAAAAAATGATCGGCATAGAGAGGGTATTTTGTTGGGTGGGTTGTAATATAATTTGAAATGGTTATCTTTTTCCGAGCGGAGGTAGTACTATCTCCTTATACCCCGTTAAAGCGGATACGCTCTTATGCATCTATGCTGCAAATCTTTGAAGGCAAACAGAAAGCCTCTACAACTATATGGAACAGGATCCTGTGACGGCTTACGAACCGGCACAGTGCCACGATTCCTGTCGGTATTATTAATAGCCCAGGAACGATTTTTTTTCGAATGATGGAATGGAGTCCCCCCCCCCGCCTCAACAACTACTCGGGAGTGAAAAAAAGAGCCCTACGTGTTGTACAAACTCGTTTCGTTCACAAAAATATTTTTAATACATATATTTTTAAGTTTACAGGAATGCAGCCACGCTGTTTATAGAAAAAGCGATGTACCAGCGATAAACGCTGAGGATGCTCAGAGCTAGTCTCAACGAATGGCACTGCACGTGCATCCGGTTGCATAAAGATTATTTATATTTTTTTCTGACTGGTATTGTATTGTAAACGCTTTCCACGAGCCGTCTCGTATAGAGTATTATTACTAATATTGATTTCTATAATATTTGCTTAGAGCCTTGTCCAAAGAGAAAATCGATCATTTTTTTCTTACCTATTTCTTCCCCTATGAAAATCGAGGTGACTTTTAAAAGCAGCAAAAAGAAATAGGGCGCAGCACCAATTTCTTTTGGACAGCGACAGTTTATTTAAGAAAGGATCGAAATGGCCTACGACGGCGATCTGCGCTCGGAAACACCACAGTGTCGTTGGGGGGAGGGGTATAAGGACCAACAGAGAGCGCCTACACTCTGCATGTGATAGCAGGATTCAGCACCTTTTCGAAGCTGTATCGACGCTGTACTACAGTGTAGTGTAGCGGTCTTTTCAGTACACACACATGCTCGCAATACGGAAGCGCTGGAAGAGAAGAAGATCATAGTCTCCTGGCTCGTGAGGTACTAGCACTACTGCAGGACCCCATGTCCAGGCCGTGGGCATGGTGGCGAGGGCCCTCATAGTTTACGCGGCACAAGTTGGACCTTCCGTTCATGTTTTCTTAGCCATTACGTGCTCTCGCCATAAGCCTGGATCTCGGCGCCCTCTGTATGTGAAGCTATGATTTAGCACATCCGCGTGAGCATATTGCCACGCTCGTCGCAGGGCCTCAGCCTGAGCCGGTAATTGGCGAACTTGCCTCAGGTAAAACCTATCAGAGGGGGTATATGAAATTAGATAGGTTGGTTAAAATAAATTAGTGTGATTTCACAAAAAAGGTGGTCAGATACAGTGTTTGTCACCCAACCAATTTTGAGTGCAATCAAATGAATTTTCAAAGAGCTTTCTTACAAGATAAAACAATGCTGCATACTTAGACACAACTGAGTGTGGTGCTAGTGCAGGTCTTAAAATGGCAAAATGAGGACGAGCGCTGTCCAAATAGAGAAGCGATCTATATTTTGGCTGCCGATTTTTTCTACTCTTGAAAAAATGAAGTCAAATAAATTGCCGGTATGTCCAAGCGAGCTTCTACGAATGGTTAATTCATGCAGAAATTAGGTTATCTAGGCATGTGAGTATTACTCACTTAGCAAATTAGTACCATTTTATTGAGATCTGGAAAATAGATTTGCGAATAGTAATCTCGACAGACGAATGCAGTACATATAGAGGAAATACCATCGGTCAGTAGAAAACTACTGATCTGTCCCCAACGCGGCGCTGCCTGCACAACTAATGATTTCACAGCTACTGGAGTGCTGTTAAGCTCGCATTTGCATTTTCTCATAGTCCTGCCTCGTTTGGTGTTAAGTTCGCATTTGCCTCGTTTGGTCTATCAGTCTCCGACTCCGGCGAGTTAGCTGCTCGCGACGCTGGGTTCGTCTTCCCCGCGTAGATTGATAGACCCAGACGAAATTAACTGACTCGTGTTCGAGCACCATCTTTAGGCGCGCTGGCACGTTGGCACTTGGCTCCCGCGTCAACTCTGTGTACCCCACCCATTGAATAAGGTAGTATACGAAGTTATTGACCCACCGTTTGGCGAATATTCTTTCTACCTCGAAGAGCTTAGCATTGTCTCCTCTACGAGCTCGGCGCTCATTTGCAAAAAGACCTCCTCCTCTACTGACAACGTCACGTAACCCACCACCTATGGACGATGCACGCTCGGCGTCCAGCTCTCGGTCTACTTCGTTCGGTATGCTAACTTCTCTGCTTAGACGAAGCTGCCAGAAGGAGCCGTCCAGACGGCGCTGGATCGTTCGGGCGTGACGCTGTCGGGGGTTGAGTGGAGGCATCGACCAAAATGGCGAATGCCACCGAAGTGCACTCCACAAAAACAACCATATAAATAAAGGCGTTTTGAGCAGCTAAACAAAAGTACACCGAAAAACCATGTTGACGTTGAAGTAGCTGGGTACACGACGTATCCAACTGGTTACTCTTAGGGTACGTTAGTAGAGTTCTATCTACTCACAGAGATTGACTCCCTAGTCCGTTTGCTGCTGATATTTATTGAGAGTGAGGATCAGTAAGATAATCTATTGGAAAGAAATACCCTAATTATTAATCAGCAGTCAACGATTGCAATTGTTTGTGTCGTTAGTTTCCTTATTTGTGTTGGAAACTCAGTGTCTGCAATATTGGTTCGCGTCACGTATACTCCCCCATACTTTTGGCTGGAGCGGTCTGAGGTATCAACTTTTGCGTCCTCCCTCAAAACACCCATGATTATAGCTGTAGCGATGTCAGAAAGATCTACCACGAAGGGAGAACTCCCATAATTCGGAGGCGGCTTTCGAGGCATGGTACGCTTAGCAAAAGCGGTTTTGCTGAAGGCAGCAGAAATGTAGCTATGATACGGATCGAACTTTATCATTTTCTACTGATTGCCGTCTTTTCTGCGCCGCGTTGGGGACAGATCAGTAGTTTTCTACTGACCGATGGTATTTCCTCGAACATATACTGTGCTTTGCAGATGGAATGTCCATCCGTTTTATAGCCTAAATTTAGCATGGTCGGAGCATAAAACCCTGCTTAAATTGAGATGGAAAGAGGCAGGCATCGATTTGTTTTATCTGTGATCGAGTTGCATTTCAAAAGGGTCGATTTAAAAGATATCGATGTGGATTTGGTGGTCGATCGATCTTGAGCGGTCGATTTGACTGCCGTAGCTCGATTTATCACCCAGTCTAGCTAGATCGATTTGTAGACCTCGATTTAATAAAACGACCTATATTTATTATAAATCAAGCATCAGGCTAAGTGAAAAGGCCAAAGCATTTTGAAATGCACAATATGTGTACCGCTTCATGCCTGTAAAGGGCATATCGCTACCAAAAGGATAACAAAAGTACTGGTAGTGTTTCATATAGCAGGATGTCGCGGTTTGTGTGAATAACAAAACATATCACTTTTAAGAAGAAAAAAAGCAAACAGATGATTAAGGTTTATCGAGGTTCTTGATCTAAGATTTTAGCACAATGGAAGTATCCCAAAATTGACGCAAATACAAGAAATACGACGCGCGCAAAATAAAGCAAATCCAGCGTCCAATTTGCGTCCGCGCAAATGTGGACCTTACACCAGCCAACCACAGAAACACTCTGCCCATGGCACATCAAGCGCTCCATGGTACGCACCGACCTCATCACTCAGTCTTAAACTTAATATCGCTTGCAAAAGGCCCGAGCTACTGGGTTGGGGGTTCTCTTCGACACGCCTTCCTGTTT